ACAAAATGGGGCTAATATTGCTTCCTTTCTTTCCTGGGTGTCTATGAGAATGCACAAGAGATTGTGTCTGGAATTGTTTTTAACAACTTGACAAAGACAATTTTTTAAATTGGTAATGATATTAAAATTCGAAGAGGATTGACAGCCTTGGTAAAATCTGAACCATTTGTGACTTGTTGCACTGGCTGGCCGGCCGCAACCCCTTTGCTCCCTTTCCCAGCAGCAGGCACCCCGACATGTATGGCTCCGGCCTCATTTTAGGGGAGGAGTCAGGATCTGATGGCTACTCAGGACTGGCTTTGTGTGCAGCAGGCAAACCAGAGTCACATGGGCTTCTGTCTAGTTGATGCAGTTTGTGTTGTCTCAGATGAATGACTTAATATTGTTTACATGACTTTATAGGAAAGAAATTGAGTCGTGATTATTAAATACTTTTTAATAGATAATGGTGCACCCCATATATTGAGTATACAGGAATAATAAGGTAAAACCTGGTCATTCTGCTGTAAAAAGTAATTTAAATGTGCTGAGCCTGTATAAGTTGACTTCTTGATTCAGAACAGAGGGCTTTGCTTTTAGTGCTTAGTTTTTACTGATGCAAAGAAGCTGGTAGATTGCTTTTCACAGTTTTCAACAAAGGAGTCTTGATTTTGACTCAGATGTTGACTTTCTGTCTCAAAGTCATTTCCTGTGGTAATTTGCCATGGTGAAGTACAAAATATAGCCTCATTAGGTTTAAATGTGTCATATGCCTTTGTTGTAGACATAAAACAGATTTGCTCTAATGTGAATTACTAACATGCTTTTAAAATTAAATCAAGTGATTCATTCATTGTGTGCTTCTTTATTATTACATAAACCCCATCAGAATTCAGTTATTGCCTTTTATAAGACAGAGGTCCCATTTTAAGATTTTTATCATCAACATACACCTGCAGAGAGGTCTATAGTTTTGAAAGTTTTTCATGTACAGTGACCTTTTAATGATGCAAGGAGATATGGCGTCGTTTTACACATGGGAACTGAGGCTAGGGGGAAGTGACTTGGCCAGAGTCACAGCTGATCCAGAGCCCATGCTGTGACTGCAGAATCTGCTGGGGAGGTTGGGACACGAGGAGGGGGCAGGGTGGCGTTCCCAGGACCTGACTCTGTGGTGGCCCCTGCCCAGCCCAGGGGTTAGACCTTGGCTGGACATCAGAGTCCTCTAGGATGCCCAGGTGTCTGGAGTGGCCTGGGCATCAGCGTGGTTTACAGCTTCACAGGGGGCACCTGTGGGCCGGTGGGGCATTCATCACAGCCTGGGCCCATAGCAGCCTAGAAGGGGCTAGGCTGGGCAGGCGTCAGGAGCAGGGGGCAGTAGAGCTGATCCCTGAGAGTGTGCATATAGCTGGTGAGCAGGTGTGGAGGGCCATGGCTGGGGGAAAGTTCTCAAACAGTAGGGCAGGACTGGCTGTTAGAATTTTAACTGATTTTGGTTAGTTGGAGATCTTGAACAAAAGTGTTTCTTTTTGGTCATAGTTCTGGTATATCTTAGAATCCTGGGTACTTAACTTTACATTTTCTCAGTGATAAAGACATTAGATGATAGCACAGCTTCCCTCTGTCAGAATCATTCCTTCTGAGTATGAGTAAAGCTGGTCAGTTTTCAAAAACAGGTAAAATTGCGAGCCAGCCCTGATGGCCTAGTGGTTAAAGTTCGGCGCTCTCACCGCTTGGTGGCCCAGGTTCCTTTCCCGGTCGTGGAACCACACCACCCGTCTGTGAGTTGCCATGCTGTGGCGGCAGCTGACATAGACCTGGGAGGATTTACAACTAGGATATACAACCATGCACTGGGGCTTTGGGGAGAACAAAACAAAACAGGTAAAATTGGTTGGGTATAACGGGACTTAGGTCATCGCTGATTGACATCCGTTATCTGAGGTGAATTACTCCATCTCCACGTGGGTGTTTTGTCTCTTCCATTTGGACCTACCGCCTGGCTTTCTGGCTTTTCGCTCTCAGGTGGGCCTTGGGGTGCCGAGTCTGGAGAGAACAGTCTTCACGGTGGTCAAAGTCATGTTGATGAGACAAGCTGATGGAGTTGGCCAGTCAAATGGGCGCTGTGCCGCGGAGCCCACTCTCCGGTCAGCTGAAACAAATGTCCGTGGTAGTTTGGTTGGTAGATACGTCTCTGCAGAGGGCAAAGATATGCCAGCTGCAGGCTTCCAAAAATCAGGGGAGCCCCACACCGGCTCACTGGCCGGCCCCTTTCCTCCTGGTATCACTAGCTGGGCTAAGAGAGAGTTGAGGACAAGCCTTTTCTTCTGTCAGGTATAACCCATAAAACAGACCGGGAATAATAAGATGATGACTGGGTTATAAAGTAGAGCTCCCGTGAGGCCCCCACGTAGAGAAAGTTTGCAGAAGCCTGAGGTTGGGGGCCACACGGCCAGCTGGCATCTGCAGTGGCTAGTTTGCCTTAGTTAGAAGACTTCTCTTTGTTTACTGTATAGGAAGGGATAAAGGCCTGGCCCCAAATGATGTTTTGAAAATTGTGGCTATCGGTAGGTATTGAAACCTGAGAGTTCTGAGATGAAGATTTGAGGCTTCCTCTTCCCTCCCTCCTGGAGGGAAGATTAGCCCTGGCTCCCGGCTGGGTAAAGGGGAAGTTCAAATGCAGCTCTCCCCACACCTGCCTGAGCTTTCATTCTCGTTTCTGACCTCTGCCTGTGAGGCCGGGGTGGGGGTGGAGTCTGGAGGCCCAAGTATTTCATAAACGGGGGCGATTGGAGCTCAGGGCATGGGGGCCTCCCCTTCTCTTGCTGCATCATCTTGCGTAAGTCACGCAGACCCCTTGCAGCTGTGTCCAAGGCCCGGTCCAGCTCGGAAGCTCTGTCCCTCCAGGTGTGCCTGCCATCTTGTTAATGTAGGGGGTCAGCAGTGCTGAGGGAACTCGTTTATGGTTATGAAAAGATTGCCTTTAGGGGCCTTCAGAACCAGCGAATAAATTAAATGTCTTGTGGCATAGTTGCCACCGCTGTCACTGATTAAATGTCCAGAAGGAGGCAAGTCAAGGCAGCAAAAATGAATGAGGGTTTGGAATCACAGTTACTCTCATTACGAAAGGACGCCAATGGTAATTCATTTTGGTTGTTTACATTGACTAAGTTTACGACAGCATGCTAAATTGCCTTACATATTTAATGCAGATTTTCTGTTTCCTATGAATTATCGGGTCCATATTTTTTAAAGGTGACAACATATTTTGTACTAATCCATAGTCTGAAGAGGACCTGGAGAGGAATGACAAATAGAAATGGCAAGCAATAGGATATATTGGAGTATATGAGGAAGCCATTTGGTATAGACCTAATTCGGCCTGTTTTTCCAAAAGGACCTGATGTGGCCATTGAGCATGCATTGTGTATCTGCTTTAAACATTTCCTGTGACAAGAACAAATGCCCTTAAGATAAAGGTGCAACTCCCCCTTGCCACATTGGCATTTCATTAAGGATAAGCATCTCTCCTTAGACTAGGAACTGATTCCTGGGCTCACCTGTGAACGCCCAGCTCTAGACAACAGACTTGCCTCCTGCTGTGTCCATCAATCGCTGTGCCCTGTCGACAGGGCAATCTTGTGACTATTGTAAGAGGGACGTTTCAGTCATATGTGAAACATCCTCTTTAAGGGTATGTAGCCACCCCGTACACCCCACTTCTTTGGAGTGCTCCGTTCCTTTGTGGAAGGACTCTCCCAGGCTATATGATCCTCACATTTCAGCTCAGAATAAACTCACCCCAATTTTGATTTATAGATTGGTTATGGATTATTTGTGTCCCAGGAAGAAGCGCAAAGCGAGTGTCCCTTGGGTTTGCACTGGGCTTACTGGTGCAGTGTGTCTGGGCTCATAACTGAGTGAAGCCTCAGGGACTCTGGCCATGGCAAACTCCTGGGCTTCTCCTCTGTGGTCCAGCCTTGCACTGCTTCCAAACAAGTGCAGATACTCTCTCCCAGGGACCCCTGTGCCTTCAGGCTCACAGTCTCTTCTTTCTCCGGCATTCCCAGCACAGCATGTCCATCCCTAACCTTGTTCTCCCTTCCTGGTGGGGCTGTGGGGGTTACTTCCTCTCCTGGTGGGGCTGTGGGAGGTGCTTCCTCTCCTGGGTGGGTCTGTGGGAGGTGCTGCTTCCTCTCCTGGTAGGGCTGTGGGGGGTGCTACCTCTCCTGGTGGGGCTGAGGGGTGCTCCCTCTCTTGGGTAGGGCTGTGAGGGGTCCTCCCTCTCCTGGTGGAACTGTGAGGGGTGCTCCCTCTCCTGGTGGGGCTGTGGGAGGTGCTACCTCTCCTGGTGGGGCTGTGGGGGGTGCTCCCTCTCCTGGTGTGGCTGTGGGGGGTGCTCCCTCTCCTGGATGGGGCTGTGGGGGGTGCTCCCTCTCCTAGGTGGGCCTGTGGTGGGTGCTTCCTCTCCTAGTGGGGGGGGGGGGGGGGGTGCTCCCTCTGCTGGCTGGGTTTTGGGGCCATGCTCCCTCTCCTGGTGGTGCTGTGGAAGGTGATGCTTCCTCTCCTAGGTGGGCCTGTGGTAGGTGCTTCCTCTCCTAGTGGGGCTGTGGGAGGTGCTCCCTCTGCTGGCTGGGTTCTGGGGGCATGCTCCCTCTCCTGGGTGGGGCAGTGGGCAGTGGTCCCAGCACTCTGTCCCATCCCACCTGCCCATATGCTGAGCCTCTGAGGCAGCAGAGAGAACTTGGGTGGATGGCCCCCAATCAGAAGAAGGCACAGCTGGAGGGTGAGTGCCCCCTAAGGTGGAGTGCTGCTGACCCTGCCGGCTCATGATGTGGAGACAGGCTGGCCTGTTTCTGGCTGCCTTGGTCTCCAGTACATTTTAGCCAGCAGCTAATGGCTGGAAAGCCTCCTGGGGCATTATGGAAGTGACTTAGACTCGCCAGAGCACCAGGGAGGCGGACTCCTCACAGTGCTCGCCTCACCCCCTACTCCCCTTTAACAAGTACAGCCACAGCCACTGCTTTGAGATGGCCAGTTCTTTATTCATATTTATTCATAGCTCTATTCATCCACGAAAGGTCAAGATGCTCTATAGCAGACGTGGTCCCCTGCCCAGGGCTGGAATGATTCCCACTAAGGACTGATCTCTGGGCTTTCATCAACGAGCCTGGCACCATGGGGTAATCGAGTGGGGGGCTCCCTCAGGGGGTGAGAACCCGAATAATTCCCATCGGAGGACTCAGTCCTGTATGTTCAGACCCTGAATCAGGTGTACAGCATCAATGAAATTAATTAAGTTTAGAAGAAAATGCGATTTAATCTAGCCATGGGGCAGTGTCTTCCATCCCAGCTACTCTGCAGTGAACCCCTGGCACTTCCATTCTGCTCACTTGTGAGATACTATTTCTGAAGTCCCAGAGGGCCTGTGCCAGCCGGAGTGGAGCTGTGACTGAGGGCAATAAAGAGCACAGGTGTCTCGCGATTGTCCCAGCAGCAGTCTGGCTGAGAGGAAGTCAGTGACAAAGGAGAACGGGCACCTCGAGCCTCTGGAGCCAAGGGATGACCCAGACTTCAGAGTAGCAGCTGAGAGTCTGAAACAAAGAAGGGCACCTAAGCGCCATCCTGCCCGCCACAGCAGCCGCCCCCCCACCCCAGGCTCTCCTCCTGATGCTGCCCCTCCCCCACCGAGGCTGGTCCCCCTGCTCCAGCCCCGGGCCATCCTCCTGATGCACTCTGCAGTCAGTTCCCAGGGCCCTGCCTGTGGGGCATGGGGGTGTGTGTGTGTGCATGCGTGCATGCACATGTGTACGTGTGCGGGTGTGCATGCATTTTCTTTACTGAGGAATTTTCTTCCTGCCCTGAGTTTTTATTTTGAAAAATTTCAAACCTACAGAAAAGCTGAAAGAATAATTCAAGAATATATATACTTTTTGCCTATATTTATGAATTATTAAATTTTGCCACATTTACTTCTCTCCCTGCATGTATGTGTATGTGTGTATATATATATATATACATGTTTGATTTCTTATATATATATATACACGATTTCTTACATATGTAAGTTCTTTTTTGGCTCTAACCTCCCCCACCCCAAACCCATGGCATTTATTCCTTGGATATGAGCCTCTTGGAATGAGGGGGTAGGGTGGGTCATTCAAGGTGTTCTCTGGGGGAGACTCCCCTCCATCCCCCCATATCTGTGGGTGCTGCACGGTGGCTGGGAGGCCTGGCCCTCTCAGGAGTGAGATGTGGAACTGTGCTGGCAGAGAAGTGAGGACGGGGGTGCTTCCCAAAGCCCTGGAGAGTGGGTGGGCCCGGGAGGTGGCAGGCAGTCTGAGGAAGCCAGACTCCATTCCTTACCCGCTTTAAGGTGCTATTGGTCTGAAAGTCACAGTTGTCCAGACTGGGGTGCTTGGTTTTCTTGCAGATGGTTCTGCTGATTTCCAGGTCGAGCATGTACTTCAGGCCTTTCACTATCTAAAGAGAACCAAGGGCCGGGCCTGGGTTACTTGGTCCAGGATAGGAGGGATGGCAGCGCCTCCATCAGCAGGAGGTGGCATGAAGGCAGGTGGTAAAGATGCCCAGCTCTGTCCCCTGGAAAGGGAGTGAGTGATGTAGAGGGAATGTCCGGAACTTAGCACAAGAGCTCTGGGAAGGAAGCCGTTGCTTGGAGCCCAGACCCCTCCCTGTCCCTTCCTTATTCATTCATCTTCTCATTCCTGCTCACGTGCCAGCTCTCTGTCCTGGGGATAAGACGTGGGCTGTGTGTCCTATCCTAGGACGTCTCCTTCCTGCCCAGAACTCTCCATCAGGAGGGACATCAGACTAGGGTTGTCTGGCCCCCAGCCAAAGGTGAGTCCTGCCCCTCCGTGCCCTATCAGCCACCTGTGGCCTGTGCTGACTGCCGGTCCCTGCCCTGGGTGGCAATATTGGGTTTTTTGTTGTTGTTTTTGTTTTTAGTTTCAAAATAGCCCTTCTCCATTTGGATGTGATACCAACCTGGGTCATTCTCCTCATTTGTGGTCTCAGAGGAGATGGAGAAAAATTTCTGTTTTTTGTCTCAGCCCCATCAAATACCAAGGGAAGGAAAGTTGTCCCCACACCACACTGAGGAACAACTTCCTGTCCCCCATCATAAAGGCCTTGGGCAGTCGGTTGGGCACAGAGCATCTTGCGCTTGCAGCCTTCCTGCAGGAGGGGGAGAGCCTGGGAGCAGAGGCCCCACCATCCTTGGGGCTGGGCCCTTGGTATGATGATACTTTGCCTATTTCCATGGAAAGCCATAGAAGCCCGTCCCACAAAGACTGTCTTTCTACAACACACTTTTGTAGTCGTAAAAATATACTGCTCTTAAATAGTTTGTAATTGCCGAACAGCATAAAGATTATAACCATCACCTGTAATCCTGTGACCAGGGGTAACCCTTAGAATGTGTCAACGCCATTAGCCACCACAGCCTCTCCTCCTTCTGTGCTCCACTGCGCATCCATGGGAGTGTGTGGGTCCTGTCCAAGAAAGCCAGCCTCCACAGCAATGAACATGACATTTGCTGTTGAACGGCTGCACAGGTCCCTGGGTTTAGCAAATGGCAGATACCACTGGGCAGCCACCTCCTGATAGCTTCTCCTCACTGTTCTGCATCCCGTGTCTTGCACTGACCCTATGTTCTCAGGGCACAGAGGCAATAAGACCTGTTCTGCCCTCCAGCATCCCCCTAGGAGGGAGAGTGCCAAGTCGTCTGTAAGAGGTCACTGAGAAGGCGTGAGGACTTCCGCTGTGTGCAACCTTACAGGTGTGTCATTCTGGCTGGGCTGGAGCAGAATGATAAGTCCTGTGGGGCTGCAGGGTGGGTGAGGTGAGGCAGGCCGGGCAGCTCTGACAGGGGTGTGTGGGCCAGCTCCAGGGCCCAGCACCTTCCTCTGGTTCCTGTGTGCTGGCTCCCTGATCCCTTCGGTAGCCTTCAGCCCCCACCTATAGTACCTCCTCAGTCCCACTCCTGTTGTGCTGTGGGCCATTGGCCTGGTGGCTCTGCCCAGGAGAAGCGTGGTTTCAGTAAGAGGCTCCAGGCCTTTTTGCTCCTCTCTGGGTGACACTGGTTTTAGCTGCTCATGGGCTATTTGTGGCTTCTGCTGTCAGCCTCCTGGCCTGGGTCTGTATTCCAGATGGTCAGGACACTAGGTGGGTCAGCCCCTGGTAAGACAGGAGCCACTGCAGCCTGGCTTCCTAGGGGTGTCCCTGAGACGCTGGTGGCAAGAACTCAGACACTCACCTGGACCAGGGCTCTGCTGATGTGGGACTCCTTGAACAAGAAGATGTCGTTTGTGCAGTTGTTGAACCTTTCAACGCTGTGTCTCGCTGCTTTGAGGACTCCTGGGTTGTTGGTCTTTATTGTTTTTGGAGATCCTGGAATCACATCTGAGTTAAGGATCTGGGAACAAAAATCTGAGAGAGAAACACAGAAATGGACAAGAACATTGCTGTTAGCCCTCGGTCCAGGCGTCACACCTCATGCCTTGGGCCTGGTGCTCACTTCTCCTCCCTGCTCCCAGTGTGGCCATGGGCCCATCCAGCCCTGCCTATCCACCTGACCCTGTTCACCCACCCATCACCCCCACAGTACTTTTGTTGTGCATACCCATGGTTGCACATACTTAAAGCTGAGGACCAGGTGTGGTGGGTGGTACAATGATGGATAGACAAGATATAGTCTCTGTCCCCCCATCCCTGCCCACACAGCCCCTTTCAGGACCCAAGGTTATTGCCAATATGTGTTAAAGAAAACCTGAACACATCCCCAGGCAGTGGAGCCTCTGGACAGGGTGCAGCCTCAGGGCATTAGGAGAAGCCACCCCAGCTGGCCTTCAAGGCTGCCATCCCACCTGAACTAAGCTTGTCCCCAACTGGACCATGAGGAAGTGCCTGAAGGCCCGTCCTGCCTTCTTACGACGGCTGCTGTCGTCCTCCACCTCAGTGACTCTTGTCAGAATCCACCCAGCTTCCAGGCTCTGGGTCAGCTCACCAGAGGGCCCCTGCTCCCCGAGGGCCCCTGCACCCTGGCAGCGCCATAGCACCTGATGCCCCTTGTGTGCTGCCTCCTGCTGTGCTGTTTTGGGTACAAGTCTGAAGATAGACGCCAGGCCCAGGTGACTTTATCCCACACAGCTCCACTGTGCAATGGGCACTTGGTAGAAAAGGGAGGGTTGCTCTTGGGAGGGACGTCAGTGACATGGTGGAGTGAGCTCACCCTGGACTCTCTCCCCTCCAAACTACAACTAAAAGCACCAACTGCTTTCCAACCAAAAAGAAAAAATCATAACAACAGCAATCGTCAGAGACCCACAGCAGCCAAACAATGGAGGGCAGAGAGGCTGGAGCTGCCCTCAGAGGAGCTGGAACAGGGTAAGAGAGAACTTCACTCCCTGCCCTAGAGACTGGGATCACTGCTGGGTGAGGGAAGGAGCAGGGTAGAGGCCACACGTCTGTGGCATCGTCCAGGACTCCCACAGACCCATGCAGCGGGAACCCTCTAACAAGGGAAAGCATTCTGTGGGGGAGCCCCATCAAGCCAGTGCCCCGGGAGACCAGAAAGCAAGAGCTGCTGGGAATCCAGGTCTGTGCGCAAGAGAAAGTGCTCCTTCTCCCCCAACCCACGGTGCACACGGCCATAATGGCTGAAGGCAGAGGGCTCAGAACGCACAGCTCTTGACCACCATCTAGTGGTGACAGGCTGTAACTGCAACCAAATAATAGCATCATGCGCAAAAACCGCTCCTCTACCATCCAGCAATTAATAAAAGCTCCAGACCGGAAGGAAAACAATAAAAACACAGAATTAAGTCCTGAGGATTTGGAAATAGGTAAACTAAGTGAAAATGAGTTCAGAGTAGCTATCATCAAAAAACTCAATGAGGTAAAGGGAAATATGGAGAAACAAGTCAACGAGTTCTGGAGTTACTTCACAAAAGAGATTGAAACTATAAAGAAGAATCAATCAGAAATACTAGAGATGAAAAATACAATGGATCAGATAAAACAGAATACGGATTCCCTGAATGCCCGTGTAGACACCATAGAGGAGCAAATTATCATAATTGAAGATAGACAGGCTGAATGGCTCCAGACAGAGGAAGAAAGAGAATTAAGAATTAAAAAAACTGAAGAAAATCTCCGAAAAACAGCGGACTCAATGAGAAAATCCAACTTAAGAATTATCAGAATCCCTGAGGGCGTGGAAAAGGAAAATGGAGCAGAAAGTGTGCTTAACGAAATTATAGAAGAGAACTTCCCAAATCTAGGAATTCAAAGAGAAATGTGTTTGGAGGAAGCTTTCAGATCTCCTAAATCTGTCAATGTAAAAAGACCTACTGCAAGGCATATAGTAGTAAAAATGGCAAAAATGAATGAGAAAGAAAGAATACTCAGGCCAGCAAGGCAGAATAAAATAACTTATAAAGGAACTCCTATCAGACTTTCAGCAGATTTGTCCACAGAAACCTTACAAGCTAGGAGAGAATGGAATGACGTATTCAAACGTTTAAAGGATAAAAATCTTCAGCCAAGAATCCTCTATCCAGTAAAAATATCCTTCAGATAGGAGGGAGAAATTAAATCTTTTCCAGACAAACAAAAGCTAAGGGACTTTGTAGCCACAAGACCTCCACTACAAGAAATCCTCAGGAAGGGTCTCATACCTGAAAAAAGAAAAAAGGGAGAAAGGGGTCACAAAACACAGAGTAGGGAGACAGATAAAATCAGAATAGGATAACAAATATTCAACTATAGCGTTAGGATAAAGGGAAGTAAATAACCAAAGCAAAGACAATCTTATCACTCTAACCACAAACTCACAAAACAAGTTGGAATAAGAGATGAAAATAATATTTTAGGAGGGGACGAGGAAAGGGACTGAATCAGTCTAGGCTAAGGAAGTAAGAGACCACCAGAAAATGGACTATGTTATACACGAGATTCTGAATACAAACTTCAGGGTAGCCACTAAACTAAAAAACAGAACAGAGACACAAAACATAAATAAGGAAAAAATCTAAGAAACCCAGCATAAGAAATTGCAGAAGTCAATGGGTAGGCTAAAACACACAGGATGAGAAACAAAGGAAATGCAGGAAAACCGGAAAACGAGTGACAGAATGACAGCATTAAGCCCTCATGCATCAATAATCACCCTCAATGTAAACAGATTGAACTCTCCAATAAAAAGACACAGAATGGCAAAATGGATTAAAGAACAACATCTAACAATTTGTTGCCTCCAGGAAACACACCTCAGCTCCAAGGACAAACACAGGCTCAGAGTGAAGGGATGGAAGACAATATTCCAAGCTAATAACAAACAAAAGACAGCAGTTGTCACAATACTTATATCAGACAAAACAGATTTCAAGATAAGGCAGGTAAAGAGAGACAAAGAGGGCCAATATATAATCATCAAAGGGACACCCTCAAGAATAAATAATGCTTATAAATATCTATGCACCCAACAAAGGAGCACCAAAGTTCATAAAGCAACTATTAACAAACCTAAAAGAAGATATCAAAAATAACACAATAATAGTATGGGACCTCAACACCCCACTCACATCAACAGACAGATCATCCAGACAGAAAATCAACACAGAAACAGTGGAGCTAAACAAAAAGCTAAAACAGTTGGACTTAATACGCATATATAGAACACTTTATCCAAAAACAGGAGAATACACATTCTTCTCAAGTGCGCATGGAACATTCTCAAGGATAGACCATATGTTGGGAAACAAGGCAAGCCTCTACAAATTTAAAAAAATTGAAATAATAACAAGTATCTTCTCCAATCATAATGCTATAAGGCTAGAAATTAATTACAAGAAAAAAGCTGAGAAAGGCACATGGATGTGGAGACTAAGCAATACGCTATTGAACAAGCAATGGATCATTGAAGAAATTAAAGAAGAAATCAAAAAATACCTGGAGACAAATGAAAATGATAACGTGCCATACCAACTCATATGGGATACAGCAAAAGCTGTATTAAGAGGAAAATTCATCGCAATACAGGCACATCTTAACAAACAAGAAAAATCCCAAATCAGTACTCTTAAACTACACCTAACTGAATTAGAGAAAGAAGAACAAACAAAGCTCAAAGTCAGCAGAAGGAGAGAAATAATAAAAGTCAGAGCAGAAATAAATGCTATTGAAACAAAAAATGCAGTAGAAAGGATCAATGAAACAAAGAGCTGGTTCTTTGAGAAGATAAATAAAATTGACAAACCCCTAGCCAGACTTACAAAGAAAAAAAGAGAGAAAGCCCAAATAAACAAAATCAGAAATGAGTGAGGAGAAATAACAACAGACTCTGCAGAAATACAATGGATTTTAAGAGAATACTACAAAAAACTCTATGCCAACAAAATGGATAACCTAGAGGAAATGGATAAATTCTTGGACTCCTACAATCTCCCAAAGCTCACTCAAGAAGAAGCAGACAATTTGAACAGACCAATCACAAGGAAAGAGATTGACATAGCCATCAAAATCATCCCAAAGAATAAAACCCCAGGACCAGATGGCTTTCCTGGGGAATTCTACCAAAGTTTCAGAGAGGATTTAATACCTATCCTTTTCAAGCTATTCCAAAAAATTAGGATGGATGGCACCCTTCCTAACACATTCTATGAGGCCACATCACGCTGATACCAAAGCCTGACAAGGACAGCACGAAAAAGGAGAACTACAGGCCCATATCACTGATGACCATAGATACAAAAATTCTCAACAAAATTTTGGCAACCCAAATTCAGCAATTCATCAAAAGGATCATACATCATGATCAAGTGGGATTCATACCAGGGACACAGGATGGTTCAACATCTGCAAATCAATCAATGTGATACACCACATCAACAAACTGAGGAATAAATCCACACGATCATCTCAATAGATGCAGAGAAAGCATTTGACAAGATGGAACAGTCATTTATGATAAAAACTCTGAACAAAATGGGCATAGAAGGGAACTACCTCAACATAATAAAGGCCATATATGACAAACCCACAGCCACCATCATACTCAATGGGCAAAAACTGAGTGCCATCCCCCTGAAAACAGGAATGAGACAAGGATTCCCTCTATCACCACTCTTATTTAACATAGTACTGGAGGTTTTGGCCAGAGCAATTAGGCAAGAAAAAGGAATAAAAGGAATCTAAATAGGGAGGGAAGAAGTGAAACTCTCACTGTTTGCAGATGACATGATCTTATATATAGAAAACCCCAAAGAATCCATTGGATAACTTTTAGAAGTAATCAACAACTACAGCAAAGTTTCAGGGTATAAAATCAATTTGCATAAATCAGTAGCATTTCTATACTCTAATAACAAACAGAAAAAGAACTCAGGAACACAATACCATTCACAATCACAATAAAAAGAATAAAATAC